GTGAGGGAAAGAGATATGTATATAGAATTAAGGTTGAGTAACCACGGATGAGTTAAAGGGAGGTTAAGTTAGGATTAATATTAAAAAGAGAGACGTAACTGTTTTCTGCTCACACTCTTATTTTCCTTTTACGCTTTGAAGAACCAAAAAGGGAGGAGACATGAGAAGATCATCTCGGAGACCTATGTTCCTCACTGTTTGCTGATACAGGTAAGGGAGAGTAAGAATTATCGCTCTAAGGCATGAGGTAATTGATGGATAGTGAGGTTGGTCCCCAACCTCCATATGTTGTATGTATTGTATAAATTGTATAAAGGGGGAAATCCCAATTGTTTTCTATTTTGGCTTGTTGTTTTCCAGATGATTCTATTACTCCTAAATTAACATGAATTATGATTATATATTATTAATTTCATGCATTGAGCCCTTTTTGGTATGAATTGAGTTACTTGTGGAACCCTAAAAGTATATGCAAGAATGATTATTGTGTGAGTAATTGATGGGACACATGTAATGGTATGGAATTCATGTCTTAAAGATGCATTGTATGAGTAAATTAGAGTATTTTTACCGACTAAAATGATGAATAGATGTTTTGGATTTGTTGTTCGCATATTGTGATTTTGCAGGTTTTATGTTTCTGATATGGCGTCAATGGCCACTTGCATCTTGCCAGGAACTATGGTGCTCAAGAGCAAAGTTTACTCTCTATTTTGTCTCTACTAAGCATGGGACATGCCTCACCAAGCGTTATCGAGGTCGTGAGTCTCTGTGACACTCATGTCGAGTGTGGGTTGAGGCTCACCAAGTGTAGGGGCTCTTGGGGAGTCCTTCCTGCTATCTTGTCAAGTGTGACATGGGTCATGTTGAGCGTGAGTCATTCTGATAGCTATGAGTGTCTTCTAGACGAGTTGCATTGGGTGCGAATAGACTTCTGTTGGGCGCTACTCGTGTATGAAAATGGTTCCTTTACTCAAGTTGGAGAGGTTTTGTTGAGTAAAAGAATGTTGATGAGTGTGAATTAAACATGTATGCTTGATAAACTACTTGAATGAGATACTTGACTCTTGTATGACAAATTGTGTATATGATAAAGTATGTCTTTGATAAATAACAATTGAGAACATGACAAATCATATTTGTGGAAAGTATTTTAATAAGTGGAAAATTATTGAATGTATGTGTGTATATATATATAGTAATTTCATGGTATAAAAGAATTTGTGTGACATGCATCATATGCACCCAAACTGACAAATCGATAAATCAAGAAATTTTTTAATATGCACTACGCATATCTTGAGATTGCTACTACATGCATGCAAATCGAGAGTCTGTGTCCATTGCATTCATATTAGCATGTGACTAAATTACTTATGATTGATGCATTATTAACAAGTGATTGTGCTAATAGTGATAAATATTATGATAGTGATTGTTATTATTATGTTATTGTATAAATAATGTATGGAGTGTGTTTGACTATCTATTTCTTATTTCATGCCATGAGTTAAAGTGAGAAGTTTTCTCACTCCTCTTTGTTTCCTTGTCTTGTCTATATGTATGTTGTTGTCGGTAACACTCATCAGGATCTTGATGATGTGGGTGATGAGACTAATCTTTCTCTTGGGAGTACTCTTATAGGATATGTGACATTGGGGCTTAGATTAGGGATTCACTAATTATTTATAATTATGTTAATTT